TTTTTATGAAGGAAAAAAACATGCTCATGCTGACATCCAGTGCTGTCGAAAGCCCTGCATTAAGGCCATGCACATGCAACAACATAAGAATGATTCAGTATGCTAGAAAGTAGAATCGCAGATTATAAAACAGTTTAAATGTCAAAAGGGCTACTTTTGCAAATTAAGAAATTCCTAAAATGATCAGTTCTAATTATGAGTTTGATATACATTTAAATGCCACTTCTAAGCTAAATAAAGACTTTTGGACGCTTGACTAAAAACAAACAACAAAACAGGACTTTGCATCACTAATTAAAATGTAAATAGTGTAATGAGGACATCAGTGATTTAGACAAACGTCTCTTTGGCTGCCACAGGGGGTATGATAATTACAGAGGCGAATCTATGAATGCACATGAATCTCCAACAAGTCCAGATTAAAAGCCTTAGTGCTAAACCTAGTTTGGTGCACCTGGGGATTGTCTATTCTAGCCAATCCCCAACAGGCTCTGAGCTGCCTCGTCTTCTTATGAGTGCAGACACCTCTTGTGAGGGAGATGAAACAAAGCCCCTGTTTCACCGTGTTGGAAAGCGGGGAAGAATAAGGAGTTGGAGGTAACAAATGCAGCACTTTGAGTAAATAATACCCCAACCAATGGCCTGAATTAAGAAGCCCTGCCTGTATAACACACTTACTGGCAATGTTGGTGTTATAATCAGTTATTCAGGGAACCCTGAACTCTTTGAGGATGTTTTGTTTAAGAAAATATAGGATACAATGTGTGAATTAATTTCTTTTAAACAAAGCAAAGAATTACTGACCACATTTGAACTAGCTTAGGAAACAAAAAGGTAAAAAAGTAAAGTAAGCATGATGTTTTTGAATTCAAATAATATGACATACTAGGCATGGGAAGGTTTCTGTGGTCAATATAGACAAAGGTTTAAAATGTTTATAGCAGACAAATTCAATCAAGTCATTTTTTATAAGATGCCCAAAACGCAACACTGAGTGTCCCACCCATTCTGCTGTGCACTGCAGGTCAGCTGGCAAGAGAAAAAATGCGCTTATGCTGCTGCTGTATGGCAAACTTGGAAATCCTAGTGATAATATAATCATTATGTTTCTCTACAAAAAACTAAATATGCAAATTATGCAAACTGCAAATAAAATGTGCTAAAACTACAAAATTGTTGAACAATAAGTCATCTTGATGCCTGCCTGATGTGGCCGCATTCACACAAAACTCCCTGCAAAATAACCAGCTGCTTTATACTGGTGCTGACATGGATGAGAAGCTCCTATTGTTTGGAAATATAACACGTAATATCGGTGCACTTAAAAACTTTTGGTAATTTTAGACGCTATTTTACTTACGACGTTTATATGAAAAGTGTAAACATGTGGTTCAGACAAGAGTATTAAAACTATAATAAACACTATATAATCTTTACATCGCTATGTTTTCTTTTTTTGATAAATAAAAGTGGATCATGTCATGTCATTTTTGTGTTTATACTGTGATATTGTAATATTTTCAAACACATTTATCACAGCATGATGACCTCATGCAACCTCATTCCCATCTGAATAAAAAATTTATACAAAACTCTATAAAAAAATAAGGAGAGAGATTTTCACCTTTTACTTGCAAAAAAAACGACTAGCGAACGGCAAGTACAGGACCATACTAAGGATCATAAAATAACTCAAATAAAAAAAGTCATATTCATTTCTAAATAATATGCCTCACTGAGGAGAAGTTCAGAGATCAATACTTGGAAAAACAAAGACGCGTTTAATGCATTTTGGCAAACACAACAGTTATTTGGATATGCTGCTTGGTTCAGTTTAACACCTAATCAGTATTTTATAAGAGGAATGACGTGTTCGGATTTAGCAGACATTAGAATGGAAAGTTTTTTTAACATGCAAAAGAGCCAAGTTAGGAATAATATAAAAGTGATCTTTATGTTTTGTTTTGTTTTTTGGGCCTACATAAAGTTCTGCTTGGTGATTTACTCCTCAACTTGCAAAATTTGTTGCTTTAAAATCAATTAGAATTTATTTGTGTGTTTTTTTCATCTTTCTAGTAGGAGAAATGAATTGCACGATAAGCTGGTAGCTACAAGCAGTCAAATGTAGGCCCATGAATTAAAAAAAAAAACATCTACGCCATATGCTGTCACTCAGAGGAAAGAAAAAAAAACAAGTCTGAGCAGACAGTCACTGTGTCTAAATGAGATGGTAGGAGGAGGAGGAGGGGAAGGAAAAGGGAGGATGTCAAGGATCCATGGTCCTTCATCTTTGCAGTAGAGCAAACACGTCCCTCAGTATGGCAACAGACAGCTGCCTCCACCTTCTAACGCCGTCCAACTTAAATCACTGCGAGAATTGTCAGTGTAGAGAGAAAACGCACAAAGATAACATAGCAGGCTGCCATGAGGGAAACGACAGAGATGGGGAAACAAGAAAAGGGGAGACATAGACAAAGAGAGAGGAGGGAGGGGAAACGTGGAAAGACTGGAGTTTTTCTTTTTTCTCTTTTTTATGCCGAAGTCTGACTTCTGCGGACAGTCTTCTTTTTTTAATCATTAAAAAACAGCAATGACACCGCTTAATATGTTTCCATAAAGCTGACAACCCCGATCTGATCAGGTTTAATATAGTGAGTCCCTTACAAGGGATTTCTTTTTGTCACAGCTCGATAGATCAATGTGTAAAGATAAACATTTCATCAATTTACAAAGCTTCTCTAGACACCTAAGCAGTGTTCTTTTATTTGCCATTGTTGAGCTGTCAGGTCTGTTGTATACATGTTTCTCTTCGTTTTTACGAAAGTGTGGTGCTGCACACTTCAGATTATAGGCGGAACACTTAGAGAAGGTAAATTGCTTGTAAAGACGTTATAAAGTTGAAGATTTCTTAGGGATGCACTTTCCTGAATATTTTTTGTGCCTTCTGGTGCATTTAGAAATAATAGGCAAAAGATTGATTACTGGAATAATTCTGGTGTATAAATAAATAAAGTAATATGATAAAAAGTAAACCTTTAAGAATTTAATTTAGCATTTATACATGTTTTTACAGTCTGATAATATAACTGCACTATAAACAATTTGATTTCTTTCAGCAAAAGTTCCCTTAACTTTAACTAAAGCTAATACAAATATATTTCCCATATTACTATTACCAGTCACTTCAAAAAAAAATTAACAGCAAAAAGGGTGACAAAAAAAATAATTGTGGCGGGTCAGTATTTGTTGACGATTTTTTTCTTTAATATTTAGGTCAAGCTGAAGCTGGAATTGTAATCGCAAATGTTATCCTAACAGAAATAAACAGCGCTGCCAGCGTTCTTTTTATGCACATCCGAAGTGTCTGGGGTTAAGTAAGGACCTGCTAGAATCACCTAATGCTCTGCAGGAGCTCAGGCGTGGAACCCTTCAGGACATTAAACTCTGAAACGCATGCTCAGGCATTTCTTAATTATTAGAGGTCAAATACTGAGAAGTAGGAGAAAAAACAGATTTATTCTAACATGCAGATATATCTAATAAAAGGGTTTTCTTTTCAGGAAAAATTTTATAAAGATCTAATGGGTAAATGGAAAGTTTAAATGCTCACATTACCATTTTTGTATCTTGTCATTTAATCCATGTGATGAAAAAATAAAATAGTAAATCTGCAGCATACAGGGTGAGAGAGGGTAATATATTGCATCTCATAGAAATTATGTTCATCCTGTTTAAGATCCTGTATACTGAGTTAAGTTACCAAAAAAATCATTTAACACAACTACACATCACACATACATTGGGAAACACAAAAATGACAAAACAATCAAAATACAAGCAGCACATTTTATACCCACTTTACAAAAAAACAAATTACAACAAAAACACTTACAGATAATAAATGTGGTGGTTATGTATTTTTTTTTTAAACTAATGAGTTACGGATGCTGGAATGCATTTTTTTTTTTTTTTTTTGAAGAGGAGTGAAACACACTTCAGCTCACTGATGGCGATGTTTAATTTCCTCTCAGAGCGAAACATGCAAATGAACTGCAAGAACACAATTAAGTGAGTTGTTCGTAACTGGTAGGTGGAGAACAGGTTCACTCAGGACAGAACGTTTGCAGGGGGAGAGAATTTACACAACTTGTTACCCCCCCACCTCCAAGCCTATCACAGACGCACACACACCATCTGACTATGTGTCAATTTACTGGCTTGTCACAAATGATTACCACTGGAACAAAGAATGAGAACTACTTCTGACATTTAGCACAATATATGTGAGCAGATCTTATTTTGTGTCAACTCATGTTGGAAGGAGAACTGAAAAAAGTGTTTCCCTATTTGACATTTAAATATCAACCAACATGGGACTTTAATGACATATTTAATTACTGTCATCTTTCTTCTCTGCATATTAACCAAATGAACTGTTACAATTCTCCCCGTTAACTGTGGATTTTTAACATTAAGATTGTACTTTAATTTACAAGTTTAAAGGTTAGAGTTCAATACTTTAAGGATTCAAATTGTTAGTAAATTAGTATAGGTATTTTAACTGCTATACAATAATAACTGAAACTAAGCCAAACAATATATTTATGCCTAAAATGCACAATAGAAAAACAAACATGAAAATATTTTTGTCTTCTTAGATAAAAATGTATAAGGTCCTATGAATGCATTTTCTTTTAGAGTAGCACATGCATGGCGACTTAAAAAGTTACGTGGAACTTAAAGAAAGGTAAAGTGCTTCTGTCAACTAAAAAGCAGATAACTAATGCTATTTGTCTGAAATCAATAACTCGTCTAATCAATATCCACTTATATCTTTAATCATATTGAGGCTGCATTAAAGAAACTTAGGATGAACCATGCACACAAAAAGACAATATAAATACTGCAATGAAAATGTTTTTTTCAAAAATATGACAAACAAAAAATATATATATAAATTTATATCAATGAAGATAATTGCAAATTGAACAAAGGCCTACCATAAATACTGCTGCTAGTGATCATGTCTTCAAGCCTAAAAACAAAAGGAGAGGGGGGGAAAAACAGCAGAATCGGAATTTTCACGAGGTGGAATTCCAAAGGTTGCTTCTCAATACAGCCACTTTTTTTTTCCTTCAGCTATCAGATTTCACAACTTAAAAAAGGCTCCGTTGTTCTTTTCCTTAGTGCTTAATAATTAAGAGTAAGGTTTAAAAAAAAAAAAAGAAAAGAAAAAAAGAATGATTTCAGGGGGGAAAAAATAAAGCATTCCCGTGGACGGAGGATAGATTGCAGGGGCTGTCACTTCTTGCGCTGAGTAGAAACTATAGAATAGGAAGCATGTGAGGGACTGGAGATGACATAAAACACACATTCTTCCAGCCGCCCATTAAGAGGAAGAGGCTAAAGCAGCGTGAAGCCCCCCTCCTCCCTTTACGTTTAAAATAGATTACTTGCCAGCAGTTGTCCCACTAAGAGCGCAATGACAGCCCATCTTTCTATTAACCTCCTGCCTGCAGCTCAACTGGCCGCTTTTATTCAGCCTGACATGCAAAAACTTCCCGATGCAAGAAAGTTATTTATTTGGGATGTAGCCCTGAAACTGTGCCGCGTTAAAAAAATAAATATATAAATTAAAAAAAGACACACACACAAAGTCGGATTAACTCCAACATCAACGATATTGCGTTTTAAAGCAAATCATTTTATATAGCGCTTAAAGCGCGCAAGATGCGCGTCCGCAGACGGACAGCGCTGCAGCCTTGTGATGCTCGCCTCCCGTGTCTCAGCCTTCCTGCTCAGTTTCTCTTTCTATAGAATTTGTTCGCATCACTGTTAGACGGAGCGGGACTCACCTGTGTGAGGTGACAGCGCAGCGTCACGGCTTTACGCGACCATCGATCCGCGGAACGCAGGGAGGAATGCGGGGCTCGCCGCGATCAAGCGTGGCTTCTCGCGGTTTGAAACCATTCCAAGTTAGTGGGGGGAAGACTGACCACAGCCTCTGCCATGTTGGAATTCCAAACCCTGGACAGCTGCTCCACTGACTGAAGGCAGCTCGCCGCGTCACTGCGCATGTTCTGTCCGGTTAGAGCCAAATTCAAAGCTATTCACCCCCAATGAGCAACAGTTAAATGTGTTTAATAGTCTGTGTTTCAGGGAAGAAAATCAGTGAATATTGAGCTAAGTGTGTTTTTCAATTTAAATTTCTTTGGATTGTCTTTCCAAATTTAGATGACCAATACCTTAAAAACCACCTTAAGAGGAGAATAACAAAAAGGTTCATCTCTAATGTCCTTAAACAGAATCAGGACTGTGTCCTGACCCCTTCACTTTTTGTTAAGATGCAAGGGCGTAGGTTTGATTTGAACTTTGGTAGGGACACTATCAGTCTGGTGTCATTGGTGCTATGCAATATGCATGCCCTTTTTTATGCTCGATGTGAGCATCCGTACTGATAAGAGGAATTCATTGTTAAAAGAGAAAAGCAACATTTTGCTCCATTAATAAAAATGTTATAAGCTCTACACTCATTAGATGCTGTTTATCAATGTTTGAAGTATCACCGGCTCTGATGAATGTGGAATTAGGACTGTTTTCCACTTTGAAAACGGTTTCATTTGAACGACTAAGAGAGAAGGTAAATACAGTATTTTCTTTTGAAGATATAGAATTGTGCAGAGTTAAACCCCACTCTAATATTTGTACCTACTATGCTCTCTCTGTATCAAGCAAAATAATACATTCATTAAAATATTAACTTCACTATAAAAGTTGAACATCTGGGCTGTAGTTACTCTGTGTAGCCAATTTCGTGTATTTCATCTGGGGCTGAAAAAAATGAATCATATTAATTGATTATTTCAATAATCGTCAACTAATTTAGTACGTGATTCATCATTAACTGGAGTATAGAGACTTTAAAACATACAGTAATATAAATGTAAAATGTGCCTTTCCCCACAGAGCAACCCACTTAGATCAGTTATTATATCAAAATTGTAAAAATAAAAACAAAAAAATGAAAACTGTAATATCAACTTAATATCAGTAAAAAGGAAACCCTCACATTTTCTTTTTTAATTGGCTGTGACTAAGAATCAGAAATGTTGATGGCTTACAGCCTTTATTTGCTCATTTTTCTAGCAGTCTTCAGAACTCCTGGCTGACTCAGAATATTTCGTTTTATAAAAGAAAAAAAAGGTTTTTGTTTTTTAGTGTACATGATATTCATTTTTTTTTAATTGGGACTAGTTTTGTAGCCTAATATTAATTGTTGTAACCGCTGCATTCTAGTGTGAATATATTTTCAATATTGTGCTCCAAGCACACGTGGACTAGAAAACAGCCAATCAGAGAGAGAGAAGGCGGAACTTAAGGCAGAACAACCAATGAGAGTGGAGTTAAACAGCGCAGCACAGTTCCATGCGCTGCTACATGAAAAGGACAGGAGAGACCAGGCAGAGGAGCTGCGAGAGGAAAAGAAGCCACTGCTGCAACAACTACTGCTGTAAATTATAAACATGTTGCTCACATCCAATTATTGGTTGGGACAATTAGGACGGTTCAAAATTTTGGTAGGGACATGTCCCTATGGTCCCTATGCAAACCTACGCCCATGTTAAGATGACATGTGCTGGCATAGAAACCATTTATCTTACTGTTTTATTTTAACATTTTTTTCCAAAGAGAAGCTTTTTGTACACTTTGTAGTTATATTAAGAATGGATCCCAATTTTGATTAGATCGGGGGTCTGCAGCCTGCAGCTCCAGAACCACAACTGCCTCACTGTCTCAGTGGCACAATTTAAATAATTAAACGATGAACTAAACTATTATCCTGTTTCCTTTGTTTAAGTGCTTTGGTATGTTCTCCCATGAAAACACAGTCCTCTCCCCCAACTGAAAACAATTAGGCTATACATAGTATGAAAGGAGGTAAAGTTTTGCATACATTAAAAGACGTCCATTCTTCTTTCAGCCAACATCTTCAACTTACCATCATGACTACAGGCATTTAGGCAGTTGAACATAAAGTGTTGAATATAAAAATATTGGTTCTTACACATATATATATTTATATATATATACATCCATCCATTCTCAGACATGCTTAATCCCAAGTGGGGTCGCGGGTCGTGCTGGTGCCTATCTCCAGCTGTCTACAGGCGAGAGGCGGGGTACACCCAGGTCGCCAGTCCATCGCAGGGCAACACAAAGACAAACAGGTCAAACAACCATTCACGCACACACTCACACCTACGGGGACTTTAGAGAAGCCAGTTAACCTAATAGTCATGTTTTTGGACTGTGGGAGGAAGCCGGAGTACCCGGAGAGAACCCACGCATGCTCTGGGAGAACATGCAAACTCCATGCAGAAAGAATCCAGAACCCTTCTTGCTACAAGTCAGCAGTGCTACTCACTGCACCACTGAGTAGCCCGGTTTTATATTGATATATATGTATGTGTGTGTGTGGGTGGGTGTAAAACTGAACATATAATACAACTAGTTGTTTATAATACAACTAGTACCACTGTTCTCATAATTTTACTTATGTGCACTCCATGGATGAAGAGGTGATGCTCCCTGCTGAGAAATGTGTGAATACATTGTGTACTTAAGTGGAACTACAATGTTTTATATATTTTAGCCCAGAATCTAAGGCGTCATTTATGCAGAGCCAAAAATGGGTATCTTCCCAGGAACGTTTAAGTGTAAAAAGGAAACTGGCCAGAGAAGAACTTGTAATATAAGATTTGTATTACTTTTGCCATGGTGGCGAGGGGCATGGTAACACTGCAAATGTAAAGATGGTACAGGGAATAAAAAAGACAGGGTGATAACTATAAATTTAGGATGTAGAAAAGGTGGTGACATACTGGATAGAACAAAAGTTTGAACATTGTCTGAACCCCAGAGATGGCCTCTTTGCATCATTGTGCAAGGCCATTAGCCCCAGACCGCTGCCTGGGGACTGGATCGCTCCTCACTGCTCCCTAAGTGTGATGAGTTATGTCCAGAAATCACATTTTATTGTAATCAATATTTACAAAAACAAATACAGACTTTTATTATTATCATGAAAAGAGCTGTTTGTGCAACAATTAGGCAGGTAAAACAAACACCGTAGAAAAAAGAAATGTGTCATTGTAAACTCCACCATAAATTAAAAGGTTTCTAAAACACAGACACAACCCTAAAGTCCTCCATTGTTGTTTTTTGTTTGTGCATGGGAGATGCAAGTCCTTCAATGTTTAACATGCAAACACATCTCTTTATAGCCAGTTATGAAGATAGGGGTTTCCACAAAGCAAAAAAATGGACAGTTACAAATCCTGCCTCTTGGAGCAAGTTTCAGTTATTGTGGGTTTCATTGCTGAAAAATCTCATAGCTACATGTGTGACATTAACACATTTCTTTCATTATGTCCAAAAAAAGGCAGTGTTAGCCAGCTTGAGAGTGCTTGTAAGTGGAAATGAAATAAGCAGTATTCAAATGGTGGTCCTCAACCCCAGGTTCTAAGGGACCCACTGTGCTGCAAAAGCCTGCTAATCACCCAATTATGTAAGTCAGTTGCACACAAGGGAAACCCCTAAAACATGCTGGCCAGTGGGCTCTAAAACCATGTCTGGAGACGTATGTGCCACGGAATCAGACACACAAGATACAGAAACATTGATTGACAAGAGTAGCGACTTCCAGGAAAAATCCATAAATCCAGCCAATAAATTAAGTGTTTAGACAAAATACTAACCCAGATTCAGAGAAAGTATAATTTGGGTTTCATTAAGTTTAATAAACATCTTTGCTTTATATGCTTATTGCATTTTTTTATTTCACTAAATACCTTGAAAGACACTGCTGTTCTCTATATTTCACTTGGGACACCAAAAATACCATTGACACCTTATGCCACGTTTGACAGCAAATGTTGCATTATTCCTCTCATCTCTGTACCCAAGGTCCTGGAAAAAGATTAATTGAATCAGCCTTCAGCACTCCCTTGGCTTCAACATGCTAATTCCAGCTGGCCCAACTCTTTGGAGAAATCATAAGGCAGGACAGGGAGCAGTCACGGAGCTGCACCTGGAAATAACACTTTGAACACATCAAAACAAGCAGTATTTTCAAGTATGTGATATTAACCCTTTCATGCATGAATTACGATAGTATATGTTATGATTTTTTTACCAAGTGTTTTTATTACTCTTTATGAATGAAAAAAACATTTTCATAAATTTTTTTTAAAAATATACTTTCTTTAGGGAGTTGGTAACATGTCCACTTGGGTGGACAATGCGCATTTGTGCAACTGATATAACCTTGTTTTGTTTTGTTTTAAAGAAAACTATTGTTACTTGATGGCCCCATATTTTTTTTACCTGCAAGGATCGCCTAGAATAGAAGGAATGAGCAGATATTCCTCTCCCTCACAACCCATGTGCTCCTCTGTCAGCCATTTTGTTTTTTTTTGAGGAAAAAAAAGTCACTTGCAAAGGCTGAGGAGTAGGTGGCAGTTTGACAAGTGGCAGGATGATACATTAGCGTCCACTGTAGTAACATATGTGCAAATGTGACATTAAAACATGTTCATTTAAGAGAAAACAACCATTTAATAACTGTCCACTGTAGTGACCACTATGTATGAAAGGGTTAATAAGCTATATGGCAAGGAGACAGAGTGGTAGAACTGATTCTGCTGCGGGGTAAAAGGAGATGCCAACATTCATCAGATAATTCATACACTCATATGACTCAAGCAAAAGCGGGCATCCAAGCTTGTAGAGGAACTGCCTGTGAAAATTTCTGTGTGCTGTGAAGGTCACAGTGAAAACAACAGCAGTGCATTTCCAGGTGTAGCCACGTCCATTGTCTCCTTCCTCATATAGGCATGTTCAGTCTGTGCCTTTGTCCTTGTGTCAGCAGGCAGGACATTCTAAATTATTTTGCTCAGCTGCCTCCCTGAACTCTTGCTACAGCATGTCAATACACACATCGTGCAGAAGCTTGTACACACATGGCCACAGGGAGCACAGTTT